GTTGGATCACATGGTCAGGACAATTATCTCTTTTGGTGGTGACACTTTTCAATTCATTTTGCAGCTGATTGTAGCTAAATAGCTAGGCTGATAGCTGCCGGTCCTAAAAAAATGGTGTTACGACACTTTTCGATGATAGGGTGTCGTGAGACCAAGCCAAATTTCTAATTAGGGAACTAAAATCTCTATGGCTTTTTCACTGTCTATTTTTCTCTGTTGAGAGTATTTGTATTTCTTTACGTCGATTTTAATCTAAAAGAGTGTAGCGTAAGTTATAAGGCGTACTTCTCAAAGGCCAAACACTAAGACATTCTCCTTGTGAAATTTTTGATCGGATTTTTCTGGTCAAGGTAGTTGAAGTTTTGCGGGAATGAAACGTTAATACGTACAGATAAAACAAATGCGTTCGCTTACTCGACGGAGGAAGTCTAGGTCCTCTTTGATACCACAACTTGACCAAAATTCCTATGGTAGTTACCACTCCAGCGAACAATCCCAGAGATATGTATAGTACTCGCTCAAAGTGCTTCTTTTCTTCGTTTAATACGTATCTTGGGCGTTCCGGTTTCAATACTGTAATTTAAAAAAAGTTTAAGGAGTTAAGTCCGCACTAAAACTTCAGCAGGTTTGTTACTATATCATGGTTACGAAATTGGTTTAATCGAGCTCGTCTTTTCGGTTATCGATGACCTAAGCTAAAATTTGGGTTATCTCTATAGGTTGACACCATGCTGTACTGAGTAATCTTTTATTGCAAGCGAATCACTGAACAATACTTATCGTTAAACGACTTCTATTTCTTCTTTTCTAAGAAAGGATTATACTATACGCGAATGAACAGGGAGTGGTGCTGTCATTATCGCAATATATCGGAGAAGTTAAGAGAAGGAAATCCTTACCCCGGAAAAATGTCACATTAACCTTGATGTTTTTTCTCCGCAAGCCATGCGAAGTGTTAAGCACGCACGAGTAGTTTCCACTATCTTCAAGTTCGGCATTGTATATCGTCAAGCTGAGAAGTCTCTTTTTGATATTTTCTTCTTTATTCTCCACGAAACCATTGTTTACTTCGAAGTGCTTGTTGCTTTTTATTTGGCTGCCATTAAAAAGCCAGAAAGCGTCGTCGAACAATGCTGCTGGGTAAATTCCCAGGCAATGTAAAGTAACATTTGTACCGTTTACAATTCCAACATACGGTTCGGTTTTCTTTGTGAAATATAAAGCTGGACCTTGTGTGCGATGTACACTCACTGCGATGTCGTGTGTTTGTAAACCAATAGTGGAGTTGGCACCACACGTGTACATTCCACTTTGTGCACGGGTTACATGTTTCAGTTTTAGTGACAATGACGCACCATTTACTTCGTGGTGCAAGCCTTTAGGTTTAGTCACTATTTTGCCATTAAAAAGCCAATATGCGTCCGTAGTGAAAGCTTCTGAAAAAATTACACGGCAATGGAGAGTTGTTGTGCTTCCTTCATAGAGGGTGATGTTTGTCTGGGTGGAAGTGACGTTTAGCACTGTTAGAAGAAAAAAGGAACTTTTGGTGAGTTGACTTGTGGACACTTTCAGATACAGATGGAAGTTGGTCTGAGATGGGAAGCTCACATGGTACCTACAGAAGCTGCCTTCGACACCTTATCTAGAGTGATATTGATTTTGGGAAGATACTCTAATGGGCGAGACACCAATTTACACATCACGGTTTTATTGCGGTTTCTAAGTTTTTGAAAACTCAGCCTAAATCATTCACGTTACTTATTTACGATCCCGGCATATGGGGGAAATTGGGATAGAAGCGAAATGGGCTCCCTCCGTTCTGTTCTTCTAGAGAAACGGTGGAGAACAAGGCAGGGAGAGATAAAGAGATGAAAAGGAGACTTTCCAGGGAGTGAGGAATGTGTGTTTGTGATGTGTTACACGTCATGAAGACAGGATACAATTCTCTTTCCTTCTCTAAGTGGCCGCAGATATCAGAATGAGCTGCAGCACTTTTTGACGGAGAAGAAAAGAAAAATGTCGGTAAAACTCACCTTCTTCCTGAAGTGACAGGTCGAAATTTTCCTTCGCCTCAAGCATCCTATCCATGTGTATGTTGGAGATTATGCAAGTGTAATTACCGACATCATTCTTTGAAACATTCTTGATGGTTAGAGAAAAGTTTCCCATTCTTTCATCAGTCTGATAGTATAACTCAGAGAGTATAAATTTGTCGTTGCTTTTTATTTCTTGTCCATTAAACTCCCACGAGTTGCAGGTCGTACGTCGTATAACCCTCGTGGCAAGGCACAACAAGGTCACAGTGGAACCTTTTCGTGCAACAACAGCCTTATCGACCACCGAAATCCTGGGCTTTAGAGCAGTAACACCTGATTTAAAAAAAGGATAGAAGAAGCTTTATAGGTTAACAGAAGAATCTATATTTTTAGCCCCCACAGCATAACACGTGATCATCAGCATTTATTTCAGGCGCCTTGCGAACAGACGTTAGAGAAAAACGCACGAAATGAAAGCGACTGCGGTTCCATTGCTCTCTTTGGCATAGAGAAGACATCGCTGTAAAGGTAGACTCTCCTCAGTAATTTTGAAAGTCTGTAGCGCTTTGTGAATCGAAAACTGAGAGTCCGTGGCAACGTAACGCAGCCAATTTACATTTTTCTTCAAAGATCTTGAATCAAAAGAACTCGGGGAACCATTAAAATTTCTGCTATCTAGGGCGAGGATACGTGTTCATCTCTTAATTGTTTTAAGGTTCATATAGCTCGAAATACGCTGTACTTTTGCATGCAGGTAGCCTTTAGAAAGTATACAATTGCTGTGTAGTTTTTTCCTTGAAAAGTTTATTTGTTTCCAATAAAACGAAAACGTTTCGTTTTCAGTCCTGGGAGCGATTTGGCGACACCGAACAGGTTTAAAATAGGTCGCGATTCACTCGACTCGCATATCAAAACAACTGCGCTAGAAAAAGCTATCATAGATCCAAGTTGTTGTACAACTATTCATAGTCTAAACAGCGTGATTTCATAAAGATTAGATTAATCCCAGTATTCAAGAGAAGTCAATAGCTTACGGCTCTCTCTTGTTGCGTAAAACGGTAGGCGAAAAAATAAAACCATAATTTTGAGCATGTGCCTTTGCTCAGAATTTCGTAAGATTGCGAACGACAATATTAGAGTTGATGATCTTTCGAAATATGTAAAGTTTACTTCGGGGAAATGAATTTGGTATTTTTAATTTTTTGAAAATCGTGAAGAAAGACAAAATCACGCCATCCTGTTGTGTACATGTGACCATCAAGACACTGATATAAGAAAAATTGACACGACTCTGATGCAGATAGGTCATATAGCAAAGTAAATAATAACCTTAAATCAAGTATTATATTCTTAGCTGTTCGTAAGAGTCCAAACTTTTTCTGTTTTGCCGTTTTCTCCATTCTGCGGTCTCCGTGTGTTTGACATCTGCACCGTCGCTTTATGTCGCGGCTCGATCAGAACGGCTGCTCCTGAAAATGTCTAGACTTTGCAATTTGTGTTCCGTGTGCGCTTGATACGACGTGTTGGTGTTCTTTGCGACAAAATCCATTAAAAAAACTGATCGAGCCGACTATTTAAAGCTTATGTTCAGAGTTTTCTATCGTCGATCCTGTTCATTATTTATTTGTTGTTTGACAGACTAGCAGACTAGAAGTTGAACGAGCTTGCGTGATAGTTGAATTTGTTCATGGTGT